AATAAGGATTCAAAAGAGATCTCCCACTTCTACATTGGAGGGGATGGAGAAAAGGCAGCCAACAAAGAAGGCGTGTCTGTGACCGTGACGAACGTCCTGCTGTACAACCGCCCGTTGGATGGCAATGAGATTAATGCGCTTAACCCGAATAAAGCTTCTACTCCAATTCTAGAAGAACAGCAAACGGCGGTGTTGGATACCCGTTTAACACCAGCAAGTGGATCAGTTGCGCAGCAAACCGTGTCCTTGCCTACTCCTGCCGGACCACTGCGGACGGAACAAGAATCGTCGATGATGAGCAGTGGTGTGGGCGGTGTCGGCGTATCCAATTCAGGAGAGACCACTGTGACGAATCCCCTACCTGGGTTGGACAGCGTGCAGCAGTTGGCGTCAGTAAAATCTTCCGATGGAACTCAAAGTGTGAATGCCGCTTCCTCATCTGTTGGTGACAAAAGAGTGGGAAGAGGAGCTGGAGATGAAACGCAGAACGATGAAACACACCAACCTTCTATGGGTACTCCCGCCACAGCAGATGCAAACGCTCCAACCGCTAAGGGCGTTGGGCACGATGGACCCGCAGTGGATCAAGAGATGAACGCGAGCATCCGTGAGGATGAGGAGGCCGCAGGAGGAATTAATGGGCAGGAGGATAACCATGCACAGCACGGCGAAGTAAAGGCTGCGGCACTCAGCAGCAGCCTCGGAAATGTGTCGCAGGGGAATAACACCGATGCCGGCACTGTGCGTGGGAGCGGACTGCTGCCGCTGCTTCTTCTTCTGTTGGGGTTGTGGGTGTTTGCGGCTCTGTGAGGCGTGACTGGCTGCCGCGTGGGACACTTGCGCCCTCCCTGCACGGACACACACGGCAATTAATTTATTTTCTTTAATAACTTTTATTTACTTTTTCTTTCTTTTGTTTCTTGTTTTTTTTATATCCCTATTTCTTCTTTTTTTTTTGGGGGGGGGGGCAATCACTGTGGACGTTTGTTTTTCGTTTCTACTCTTCCCTCTTTAATTGTTTGTTGCTGCACTCTTCCTGTGAGGGGTGCCGTGTGTTTCCCGCCCAACTGCTCCACTAGCACACTCACCGACACGCTCACGACGACGGCCCTGTGCGCCTCGCCTGCTGCACGCATGAGGAGGGGCCGCGACGAACGGCGCGCTGAGGGAGCCGTGACGTGTGGGCGTGCGACGAGGGCCTGTGGGGCGGAGCACACATTTCTTCCCTCTTGTTTTGTTTTCTTTGCGGCCAGGGCTGGCAGACACCCGCAGCGCCACACACACAGCCACACCCTGCCGCCGTGTTTTTCTTTAAGGATTTGTTTTGCTTTTCGTGTTTATTTCATGCGGTGGCGCACCCTTCGGTGTCGGCCTCGTGAGCATTTCTCTCCCCTCCGATGATTTCTTTTTTTTTGCTGCGCTCACTCTCCCGATGGAGTGACGCGACTGCCGTCATGTCTGCGTGCTTCTCTCAGTCCCCACACACGAGTGACTGTGCTCTGCGGGCCGCACTCACGCGCCGATGAGAGGGCTGAGGGGAGCAGCAACACGCCGATGACCCCATGAAATATAAACGATGTGCGGACACATGGAGGGTCGGACGGTCGAAGCACACGCAACCATCTTTTTAATTTTCTTTTGCGGGCAAAATACATACAGACAGTTTGGTGTGGCCACACGGCAGCCAGGCGATCTTCTTTTTCTTATTTTAAAATTTGTGTGGAGCAGTAATGGACGATTTCTTTTTCATTTATAATTATTTTGTGTGGTGGGGTTTACACAAGACGAAGGGGACGTTTTTTTGTTTTCAATAAATGTTGTGTGAATTGCCGCTGCTTGGGCTGCAGTGCAGTGATGAGTTTGAGCGGTCTTCTTCTTGTTGTTTCCGTTATGCGTCTCCGCTGTACATTTTTGTGCGTCCCTCCACATACTCTGCTCCCTCTTTTTTGCGTCTTTGCTTTTTGTTGCTGCAGGCACACACAACCACACACACACACAAGATGCACATTGCAGTGGATTTGAATGCACCTTTTGTAGTGCATGCTGGCAGTTGCGTGTGGCGGCTGTTGTCTTCTTCCGTGGCCATGAGGAGGGGAGAGAGGGAGCGCAACCCGAGTCTATTTCCCTGTGGGTGTGATGCACCGCGTGTGACTGCGCTGAGTTGGGCTCCGTGTCCCATTGATGGCGGGATGGCAGGAAGTTTTTGCCGCGTGATGGATGGATGAGGGTTCGCTTGCTCCGTGTGCGTTGCGTGGTGGCTGCGGGGTTTTGCCATTTCCCTGGGGCTGCGGGAATGAGCTGGGGGAGATGGTGGTGGATGTCTTCTCCTCCTGCATGGTGGGTGGCTGCTGGCGTTGTGTGCCTTTCTTGCGTGGATGCCGTCTCGTGGTGTGTGAACTGTGCGGCTGGGCCTGCTGCCCTCTCCTCATGTTGTCTGCGCTCTCTCGCTGTATCCGCTGTGCTCCGTCCCTTTCCCTCTCGTTCCATTCTTTTCCTTTCCGTCTCACCGATCAGCTGACTGACACCAGCGACTCCACTACGGGCGATGATGACTGCGATGGTGACGGTGCGGCGCCGTGTTGGTCCTTGCGCTCTTGTGCTGCTGCTGCTCGTCCGTGTGTGTGACGGCGACAGGAGACGATAATAACGATAACAGCCGTCCTCCCAGCCCTGAGCTAGGGAAACCGGATCCTACAAAAACATGCCTGGTGCATTACAGCCATATGGTGGGGAGACCGGTGTGCCACAGACAGAGAGTGGGAGAGACAGCGAGGAGGGTTTGAGTATTCAGGACCCTCGTTGCCAAAGGAAGCAGGCACAGCCATCACTGGACAGACACGAGTTCCGCCAGAGTCACTGAGTTCGGCTAGCGATAATCCAGAGCCAGCAGGTTTGGCAACTCATTCTCCACACACACACAAGGTGCGACCGGTATGTCAGTTGCACAAAATAAAGGGCGCAGTAAAATACACGAGGCGATGAGAATCATAAGGCACAGATATCAAATGAGAAGATGAAAATGCCAAATACGACAAACACTATTACGAATACAACAGAGGCACCTCGTAATACGGCCATGAATGCAGAGGCGCCAACCAATATAACGACCAGCGCACCATCACGTATTCGCGAAATGGACGGCAGCCTCAGCAGCTCTGCGTGGGTGTGTGCCTCGCTGCTGCTCGCCGTATCCGCGATGGTGTATACCACTGTGAACTAAAGAATTGTGTGCGGGCTGTGCGTGCCAGCACTCAACCACGGGAAATGTGCGCTTCTATTGTGGTCCGATGTATAAAGTGAGAGTAATTATGATGATTCTGTTTTGCCTTACTTTTTTGCTGCCTGCTGTGTGCTTCTCTTTACTTCCCACATCCGTCACATTGAACGCGTCCCAGACAAACTTGTATGCACGCCACGCATACAACTGTTTGCGTGGACCCACTGTTGGGGATGGATGCATGCAAACTGGAGCCATTTAAGTGCAGGTTTCTGTTTTTGTGTTTTTACATTGTTTAGTTTCTTGCTGCGTGTTTACTTTTGTTTTGATTTTCCTTGCTGTGCCTTTTTTAATTATATTTTTGCATGGCGTTGTGCGCTTTTTGCACTTTATTGGTTGAATATTTCTTACGAAATGCGTGCTGCTGCTGGTGTTTTTTACTGTTCTTTTTCTTGTGTGCGTCCTTGCATTTATTCTTGCTTTGCGTTGACGTGTTGTTATTTTGTGCTGAAGGCTGCACGCAATTGACAGGAGTAATGGCGATGATGATGACTGGCCGTGTGCTGCTGGTGTGTGCCCTCTGCGTGCTGTGGTGCGGTGCTGTTTTGGGCACGCGATGGACGATTACTGCGGTGGGGGTGGAGGGGACGGTTTGAGGCACACGAGTAATGGTGGAGATGACGGCGTGTCTCTAAAGGCGGACTGCGGGTTGTTATCCGCCCGAATGGCATTAATAAAGGCGGTTGAGGCTGCGGAATCTGGAGAAGAAGGATTGAGTGCTCCAGATCCACTGGAAAAGTCGAAGGAGTCATTACCTAATAATAAATTGGGCAATAATACGCAGTCCACTGGAGCGCCTGGTTTAGGAGGTGGCGGTGTCGCAGGTCAAACAGCAGAAGCAGCAGTAGCGCTGGAGCCCGGAGGATCGGGTACAGGAGGACAGGTGAGGCAGCCTAAAGTGGTGGAAGCAAATGGAAAAGAAGGAGAGACTGCCAACGATACAAAGAGCGGAAGCGCATCTAATTCCGAAGAAATAAAAACTTTTGAATCTTCTTCTGGCAGCCCTGGCACTGAGGGTATTAAAATACACAACTTGGAGAATACTTCCGAGAGAAATGAATCCTACAAAGAGACACCGACGGAAGAAAACAATCTCTTCAGTAAATATGACTGTACTGAATTGGCGCTGAAAGAAGAACCAAAAAAAACAGGAGATAAAAAAAACGCAATTCATGAGGCACCAACAGAGACACGTGGAATTCCAGCCAAGGACGCAGAAATACAAACGGCAACACCATCGCCACCACCAACAACAATGAATGAATAGTCCAGCACTGAGGATTTACCACCCGTGCAACCGCTACAACACGTCCAAGACGACAATGCAGAATCCACGCCACCATCACCCACGGCAAACGGTGGTGCCGCCAATAACGAAGCTGACAAGAGCACTGAAAAGCACATCCCGAACAGTGATCCAGCAGCTGATGGTGCAGGGACAGCAGAGGGAAAACAAAATGAAAATAAAGATGCCAATCCGAAAGAAACACCATTCGAAGCCAAATCCATGAAAAATACAACGGCGACGACTGGCGACAGTGACGGCAGCACCGCGGTCTCCCACACCACCTCCCCTCTTTTGCTTCTTCTTGTTGTTGTTGCTTGTGCGGCTGCGGTGGTGGCCGCGTGAGAGTGAGGGAGAGAGAGCCGTGCACCGCCCGCACACACACTCGTCCTTCTCTCTCTCTGTGTGTGTGTCCCCTTGCATGGACTCTCGCCCTCACCTCACCCCACGAGGCACACACAATAATGTGCCCATTGTATATATGCATGCACACCCATGCAGGCCCGTTGGTGCTCTCTTTTGCACGACACGCAGCGCTGCCGTCCTGCCTGGCTGCATGGGCGGAGCACCGTAACTGTTTCTGTTTTGTTTTTATTGCATTGAGTGGGCGACCTCTCTCTCTCTCCCTCTGTGTGTGTGTTTTGCTTTACGGGAGTAATGAGAGTGTGTGTGCGCTGGTCGTCCTACGCTTCGGCTTTTTGTTTTGAATCTTTAATTTCTGTTGTGGTTGGGTGCACTCATTTTACTTTCATTGATTGGTGACTTGATTAAACTGCGGACGGCTGAATTTTCCCTTTTGTATTCTCCTGTTCTTTGTTTCTTCCCACGCAATCGGTCCTTGTTGCTTCAGCGAGCCACGAAATATTTGCCTAACACCCACATCAATGGCTTACTTGCTCTACACCCCACATTAGTTTGAGACGCTGGTGCTGCTGCATGTGATGATGTTTATGGTGTGATTGCCAGCGGGTGCTTTGCTGTCACTTTGACGTACCCTCGATTTGTTGAATATGTGATGCGTGCCGACAGCACGAATTGGATCCGCGTTGTTGTGAGGGACGCACCCTTTTGAGCAGTTGGTGCGCTGCAGCCATACACCGTCATTGGGAGGGATGGACGCCCATCCGCATCAACGTATCCACAAGGGACCTGGATGATACCGGGAAGCATTGGATCTCAGAGAGGTACTACGCAATGAATTCGTCGAATGACAATCGCCACTGTGAAGGTGACGTTGTATCCTCTGCGCACGGGATCATTCTCGAGAATGAAGTTGCCCCTGCTGCTGTCAAACCGCATGCGCATTGTCTGCTCGTGCAGCCACTGGAGGGTCCTTTGATTGTGCCCCCATTTGCCACGGGCAGCGTTTGCAGTCGGTTCACGGTGCGTGCTGTGCATTTTTCCACTGGTGTTGCCAATGCTGACATGGTGTGTGTGGCAGAGCGCTGTCGGTGGCGGTGCACTGGTCGACTGCCGTGGTGGCTGCGAGGAGCCCCGCGACCGCGACGACATTGATGGCATGGAGCTGCAGGATGGCGATGGGGACGGGAGGACGCTGGACTCGCACTGGTCGCAGCGCCACGCGAAGGATGAGTGGATGGCACCGATTGGGAGTGCCGTCTACCGCACGGAGCTGACGCTGGCCGCACCGGCTGACCTGGGCTGCATGAGGGCGGAGTGGGAGATGGCGGAGCCGATGCGCTGGTGAAGGAATTCGAACTGTGCGCTGCTGCAGAGGAAGTGCTCCGCACCGAACATGAGTGAATATTCCCAGATGTTCAGTGAAGCGGGCATTAATGCCAGACGCTGCACGTTGGATCGGTATTCCAGTTGTTGGTGTGTAGACGAATTATCCATGAAGGGTCAGCAAAACGTCCGATGGACAGTTGCCCCATCACTGGTCCCGCACTGGATGTGAGAGATGCTGCCGCTGTTATTTGGAGGGGAGAATATTTGTCTGCGGTGCCTGGGGACAAGGCCTCTTCGTGGTGTCTGGACACGCTTCCCACCAACACGACGGATGCGAGGGACCCGGAAGAAATATACATCTCGGTGCTGTCATGCATGCGGCATTGCGGTGCCTCGGCATGCGGGTGCGTCTGAGAGTGACTGAAGAGGGTAACGCCCGCTGTGCCCCATGCACGGCCGAGGCGACGATTACGTGGGTTGCTCCGCCCTACGACGAGGGAAACGTTATTTTCCGTGACCACGCGCAGTTGTGCACGATATCCGCCACCAGCGGCAGGCTGCTTCCAGTGGTTCCGTGGGACGGCGATGTGAGAGGGTGTGGAGCAGGACGGTTTCACTGGCATCTACTGAACAAGCTTTGCTACGGGCATCCGTCCCCGATCCAGAGAGCATTGGGACCGGCCGTGGCACACCACCGAAGGATGTGGACACGGCTGCTCCCCAGAAGCATCCGTCGCCGGAGGAGAAGGAGGTCGCCTCCGGTGCCACGACGGCAACGGTGTGCTCTTGCCCAGCGACACCGCGGGTGCGCCGCAGGGGGCGGAGAGGAGCGCGATCTTCCGGACATTGACGATGTGGCCGCCGATGGTGTGGCGTCTGTTGTGGAACAATCATTAGGAGATGAGGCCGTCAGCGACGAGGCCGGTGGCGGTGCCACAGCCACGGGACCCAAGGGCCCTGATGCCGCTGATGACGCGCAAGGCGCCGTGGACCCTCCGCCGAGGGAGGATGAAGCGGCGGTGGTGCGCGGGGTTGGGAGGCAGACATGAAGGACGCCCCGCCTCCGATCCACGGCAATAACAGTGCGGCGGCTGCTTGTCCCTTTCCGCTGCTTCTTCTGCTTGCCGCTGCCGCCGCGGTGCCAACATTGAGCAGTGGGTGCAAGAGAGAAAGGCCTATATCAACTGGCATGTTCCTGTCAGTATATATACATACGCTCTGCTTGTCCTTATACTTTGTACCATGGACATGTTGCATGCACTCTCCCTCTTTTGTGTTGGTCGCTAATGTGGCGGCACCACGCGTGCATTATGGGTTGGGATAAGAAATTGTTTGACTTCTTCTGGAGGATACTGTGGGGTGTTTTTGTGCGTGTGCGAGGGATCTGTGTGGTTTTGATTTCCCTATTTTTATTCAGCTGCCTTGGCATTGTGTAATGATACTTCCCTTCTCCATTATGTGTGTTCTGAAGTGTTTCTAGGGCACCGGGAGTGGATGCCTGTGGACGCACGCCGTGCATTATGCGCTACATTGGTGGGAGGGGAGACTGAAATAACTGGCGGGATTCAGTAAGGCGCATTTTTTCCCACGGACCCTGCAGCCGCAGCAGCATGAGTGGCGCTTTGCATCTGGACGTGTGGATTGTTTCCCTCTTGCGAGGCCTTTTTTACTGCGTGTCATTCTCCGCTCGGGTACCGTGCCCGTGGCAGCAGCGGCGGCATCAAAAGGGCTGTGTGCGTGGAGAGTCCTTGATTGAGTGCCTGTCTTACTTCTCTATTCTGTTGATTGATTGTACCGTGTGCCGGCCAAACGGTTGACATGACGTTCTTCTGACGGCGGGGTCCGCGTGAGACGATGTTGCGTCGCGTGGTTTGTTGCGGGTGTGTGATTTCCGCAACGGTTTTTGGGCGGTTGACTGTTGGGTCGTTGAGGGCGGCGTGGCGACGGGTGTGGATGGGCCCGATTGTGTGCCGTGGCTGTTCGTGGGGGGAGCCGCGGGAAGGAGGAAGGCAGCGGACCGATGGACTCACGAGGAGTGCGGTGGCGTGCAGCCATGAAGATTGGCGACAGGGACTCACTGCCGCTGTGAGTTGCCGTGTGTGGTGTTTGTTTCTGTTATTATTACTTGCGTTGTTGGATGTGGCCGCTGTGGGGGAAGACTGTTTTTTGTTTCTTTTTCACGCCGTTTTGGGATCCTTTTCTGCACCGGCATCACTGTGTTCTTGCCGTACTGTTGCGCCCTCTTTCCCTTCCTTTTGGGGGCAGCTGCGGGTGGGTCTTACATGCCGTGGAGTTGTGTGCCGTGCTGTCCGGTGTTTCATTGTTGCCTGTTCTTCCTGCGTGCACGCGTCCCCCATGCTCATGACAACAACCCTCATGCAAACGCTGCTCCTCCTTTTCCATGCTGCTGATGTGTGTGTTCTTCTCATCCTCCTCTCTTTGTCCCTCCCTAGACTGTGTGTGCAGCCGTGATGATGACGATGACTGGCCGTGTGCTGCTGGTGTGTGCCCTCTGCGTGCTGTGGTGCGGTGCCGGCGGTGGTGGACGAGCTCAAGCAGCTTCTCCGGATACTACGTCCAGTGAAGAGAAACCTCAAAACGTGAATGATACCACAGGTGTCGTTGGTGCAGGAGAAGGTGACAAAAACGATAAACAGGCGGCGCCTAAAGCACCCGCAGCACCAACGACGTCAGGATTACAGGGAGCGCCAGCGAGCCCGTCACCGGCAACAGAATCCGGAGGAGCATCAGAAACGCCAGGTGCAGCAAATGACAGCAAGCATCAAAAAGAAGACGAAAAGGAGGACGAAGAAGACGAGGAGGGAGAGGAAGAGGAGGAGGAAGAGGAAGAAGACGAAGAGGAAGAGGATGATACGAAAGAAGTGGAGGGGACAGGGGAAGAAGAAGCTGTTACCAGCACCACAGGGGAGATCTCAGCAGGCGGTCAAGAGCAGCCAAATTTATCATCTGGTGCGGCGGGAGCATCGAATATAACAAATCCCAACAGCACCCAAACAACTGGAGACGATGTTTCAGCAGCCGATGGTGCAGGGACACCAGAGGGAAAACAAAATGAAAATAAAGATGCCAATCCGAAAGAAACACCAGTCGAAGCCGCAGTCATGAAAACTACAACGGCGACGACTGGCGACAGTGACGGCAGCACCGCGGTCTCCCACACCACCTCCCCTCTTTTGCTTCTTCTTGTTGTTGCGTGTGCGGCTGCTGCTGCGGTGGTGGCCGCGTGAGAGTGAGGGAGGGAGAGCCGTGCACCGCCCGCACACACACTCTTCCTTCTCTCTCTGTGTGTGTGTCCCCTTGCATGGACTCTCGCTCTCACCTCACCCCACGAGGCACACCCATGCAGGCCCGTTGGTGCTCTCTTTTGCACGACACGCACCGCTGCCGTCCTGCCTGGCTGCATGGGCGGAGCACCGTAACTGTTTCTGTTTTGTTTTTATTGCATTGAGTGGGCGACCTCTCTCTCTCTCTCCGTCTGTGTGTGTGTTTTGCTTTACGGGAGCAATGAGAGTGTGTGCGCTGGTCGTCCCACGCTTCGGCTTTTTGTTTTGTTTTTCTTGTTTTACTTGTGTTGTGGTTGACTGCACTCCTTCTATTACACTTTTTATTCGATTATTGGCAGTTTGCTTTGACTGCGGACGCCTAAATTCTCTTTTTCATTTTTTCGTTTCCTTTGAGATATTGTCAGTGTTTCTTATTCTTTTCAAACCATGAAGTGTTTTTTTTAAACGTACAGCATGTTTCAGTTGTTCCACGTCACCCCACGGTCTGCGGTGCTTCACGGTCTGCGGTGCTGCTGGTGCTTCTGGTTGTGATGTGTTGTGCTGGAGGGTGCTTTGCTGCCAGCCTGACGTACTCCTGCTCCTCTGACAAAGCGATGCGTGCCCACAGGGCGAAGTCGATCGCGGCTGTGGTGAGGGACGTGCTTCTTGGATCTGAGGGTGCGTCGCAGACATGCACCGTCATTGGGAGGAATGGATGGGCGCCCATCCGCATCAATGTGTCGACAAGGGACCCGGATGATGCCAGGAAGTATTGGATCTCAGAGAGGTACTACACAATGAATTCATTGCGGCAATTGCGAGTGTGAAGGTGACGTTTTTCTATGCTGAGAAAAGGGATGTATTTGTTTTGTTATACTTTGCTGCCACTGCTCGTTAATGGCCCGCGGGCTGTCCGTAGCGATGTGGCCAGTTTTTCCTTCTTGAACGGTGCTGTCGTGCGAAAGGGTGTTTTCCCAAATAGTTGGATGCTCAGTCGTCGAGGACGGGGGCATTCCCACAGCGTGTGCGGCAGGCCTTCCCGTGGATTGTCGGGGGCTCAGCGGCTGGTGGGGGTTGCAGCAGAGGAGTGGCTGAAGGGCTACGGCTGTCATTGGAGCTTGCAGAGGTGCGTTGTCCGTTTTTTGCTCGTTGATACGCTTGACATTTTCGGTAATGACCTGCGCGTGAGGCACTTGTTGGGAAGACCGTGGAGCTGTCGCAGAATCCACATGTGAGGCCTTCTGCAACGATTGGAGTGCCGGGGTTAGTGCGTCGGGCGTGTGCCTCCATATTGTGGACGGACGAGAAGACGCTGCTGCAGCTTGGGCAGGGCGACGTTGATCTGCTGCTCGTCGTTCTACGAGGAGGTGCCGTGGACACGCCAGGTGGAGATTCCGGAGGAGGTCGGGGCGGTCCTGCCTCTTCAGTGTGAGGAAGGGCAGCACCACCGAAATAATGGGTTGCTTGTGATCCGCAGGGCGCGTGCCGGTCAGCCGCAGGTTGGGCAGGAGGACGTCAATCAGCCGCTTGCTGCTCGGCAAGGAGTGGCGGTGCTCACGTCGGGAAGAGGTTACGGCGGAGGCAGAGCACAGACGCGGTCCCAACAGCACCGCAGTACAGCCGATCCCAGAGGACAGGGACGTGGCTCCGTCATGCCTCGGAGCATCACAGGCCTGGGATCGAGAGGGCACCAAACTGTTTCGCACGGGCCTCTGGCAGCATGGAGAAGCCATGGCGGAGGGCATGATTGCGGTCCTCCCGTTTGCAGAGCACTTCAGCACGGGGCAGGCTGCCGCTGCAACACACTCGGCCTGCTCCATTCCGTCCAGATACATGTGGGAATGTCACGGCTGCCGCGCGGTATGGTGCCTTTGCGCATCTCCAACCATGTGGTCACCGAGGCCAGAGGTGTTCCACACGCCGAGGTGGAAGCATTCCAGTCGGCATCACGCAGGACAAAGGCGACATGTTTCCGTTGTGGCAGCATGCCTGCCAGTCGTGGGATGCCGTCCTCCGTCCCCGCAGTGTGGGATTGCAGATGGTGATCCGAGTCCATGTAAACGGGTGGACGTACAGTGGGAGACACGAAATACGCTTTGCAAGTCACGTCGGGAAACGAGACGCTGCGGCCGCTAATCCGCGTTGCCTGTGCCGTGTCGTCGGACAGCTCAATCTCCATGCCGCTTGGGGTGGCGGCGAGGTCCTCTCCTGCCGTCGTTCATGGTGAGCGACCGTCCCACAGCTCATGGTGTGAATTCAGGTCAACTGCAACAGGCGCTTCAGGACCAAGACGACGAATGTCGCTCGCAAAGTGAGCAGTTGCCGGGAAGGCCGCAGAGGTTCACCACGCATATGCTGGGGCTGGCCGGTGGGCACACGCGGAGGGCGGTGGTCTCCAGGCAGTTGGTTCCAGCAGCGACAGGCGCTCGCACGGAAAGGTGTGGTGCACCACGAAGGTCACGCCACCGGCACGCCCACTGCAGGCCTGGTGGAAGTCAATGCAGCCAATGAGCCTCGTCGCTGGCACTCTGGTGCCTGCACTCCTGCAGAAGAACGATGTCGGGCTGGTGCTGCGCCAGTCAAGCAGCAAGGGCAATCCTGAGGGGGAACGGCTTGAACTTCTGAGATGCGGCTCTTGCGGACACCACCGCAGCGGGTGATGCCGGCAAAGTGGCCGCAATGAAACGACTGTGCGGTTGTCAGTCGGGCTGCAGGCAAACCGCCTCGCCGCTCCACAACCAACAGAGCGTGGGATCCTCTCGAGGGGTGACGCCGTCGTGGTCCCCGTCACGCCCGCAGCAATGCCCTGCTGCAATCACTCCCACAGAGAGACAATAAAGAGTCTTGTGGATGTGTGCCGAGAGCACAGCGACTGTCATCGCCAGAGACGGCCATCGTGGCACCGTCCGTCACGCGTCAGCACACACCGAGCAACGCACGCACCCGGCAAAGCAAACACACAGGCGAAAGAAGAATGACCCCAAGAGCAGGCAACACCTCCACACATGGCGGACATCGCACAGCCGCGTCAGTTGGCCTCCAGCACAATGCAAAAGCGTACCACACGCATCCATCCAATGACACCGTGATTCCCACCGCCAACGGTAGACACGCAGCGACCATACTATGTCAGCACGGGATGCAGGCCAACGTCCCACCGTCGCCAAGAAATTCCTGCAGAGCACCGTGCAACTAAGTATATATGTGTGTGTGCTGGAGGAGCAGAAGAGAAGACGAGCACAGGAAGGCACATCAACACAGCAACAGGCACAACTGGAGAGCAGCGACAAATGCAGTACGGTCCCGACATCAACAATCACACACGATGGCAACAAATACAAAAGCAAAAAAACAGAACAAATCCTTAAAGAAAAACACGGCGGCAGGGTGTGGCTGTGTGTGTGGCGCTGCGGGTGTCTGCCCGCCCTCGCCGCAAGAAAACAAAACAAGAGGGAAGAAATGTGTGCTCCGCCCCACAGGCCCTCGTCGCACGCCCACACGTCACGGCTCCCTCAGCGCGCCGTTCGTCGCGGCCCCTCCTCATGCGTGCAGCAGGCGAGACGCACAGGGCCGTCGTCATGAGCGTGTCGGTGGTGTGCGAGTGGAGCAGTTGGGCGGGAAACACACGGCACCCCTCGCAGGAAGAGTGCAGCAACAAACAATTAAGGAGGGAAGAGTAGAAAAGAAAAACGTCCATATTGATTGCCCCCCAAAAGCAAAAAAAAAGGAAGTGAGAGAAAAGGACAATAAAAAGTAAAAGCAAACACAAAAAACAAAAGAAATTAAACAAAAACACTCACACAACCAGAAAAAACAAAAAAACAATTAAAATATTTCAAAGCAAACAGCAAAGAGAAATTAAAAACACTTAAAACAATCGTAAGAGGACAAAAAACAGAAACAGTTACGGTGCTCCGCCCATGCAGCCAGGCAGGACGGCAGCGGTGCGTGTCGTGCAAAAGAGAGCACCAACAGGCCTGCATGGGTGTGCATGCATATATACAATGGGCACATTATTGTGTGTGCCTCGTGGGGTGAGGTGAGGGCGAGAGTCCATGCAAGGGGACACACACACAGAGAGAGAGAAGGACGAGTGTGTGTGCGGGCGGTGCACGGCTCTCTCTCCCTCACTCTCACGCGGCCACCACCGCAGCAGCAGCGGCACACGCAACAACAAGAAGAAGAAGCAAAAGAGGGGAGGTGGTGTGGGAGACCGCGGTGCTGCCGTCACTGTCGCCAGTCGTCGCCGTTGTATTTTTTATGGCTGCGGCTTCGACTGGTGTTTCCTTC